ATACTTTCTATTCCTTTTGAGAGATTCGATCAGTCTATGTTAAAGGGTTAACGACTCTTACCCAACTCTCCAAGCTTTCTTTCCTTTCTTTCGAGCCTTGACATTGACTCGAAAAATAAGGAAACATCGGTATTAAAAAGAAAGAATTTTTTATTACACTAAATAGGTGATATAGCTATTAATAAAATTATCGGTATGGATGGCCTTAAAGGTCATGGATCTCTTTTCGCATTCAACACTCGTTCCATTGATTAAGACTATCTGTTATCAATAGCCGGACGATCGATAACTTACGCCGCGGCTACTAATCACTGACTCGTATTCTTTTTTTTATCAGCTGTTCACGTCGAGGAAATTGATAATACAACCGATTTATTATAAGCGCGTATAACACGCTGTTGTACGATGCAGCACGCAGGCACACTTGGCGCGATTCCAACAGCACGTGCGGACTCGATAGGAGCTCGTTGCTCGGAAACCGAGTTATGTTACACGGCTGCAGTCGTGCGATTCCGAAATTTTCTCGCCGTTTCCGAAATCGGATGCAACGACCCCGTATTGCATCGCGTTTCCACTCCGGTGATCATGAAGATGAATCACTGCTCGCACGCTCTGTTGTAAAATGAATATGAACAGAGAAAATGAAACTCGTTCGTCGTACGAAGTAAATTGATATTTAAATTTCATTTTCTACCTGTTTTATTTTTAATGGAAATCCGATGTGTAATCGGTGATAATAATATCGATACGAGAGAATCTGCTATTTCCCATATTTCCTTTGATTGTAATTACAGAGAAAATTAAGAGCATTAAAAGCGGTTGTGCGATCGATTCCATGAGTTAATCTGGTTGTAATCTAAATCGGAATTATCGCAAACCGGTTTCACGACCGAAATTCGCGTTTTCCCTCCGTTTCTGTTTAATCGTTCTACTATTTTATTTGTTTCAATTTTTTTGTATCTAAAACTGAAAATGGTAAAACGTATAATGCTTACTACTGTCCTCTCTGTTGAGGGGAGAAACATGTCGGTTTTTCTTGATCGATAGCTTTGAATATTGCACCGCCACGTCATGGGCGGTGAATAATTAATGCCCCTTGCAGGATGTTCAGGTCGCTGGGGTACGTAGATATCCGATTTGAAAAACGTATCGTTCCCCAAACATCGGTATAAGCATTCTGTAATATTCATAGTCTTCTTATCATAATTTTGTATTTAAGATTTTGTTTGATAAATGAGAACAAACTGATTAACGAATGAACGTTCGATGGTATGTTGCAGCTTATGGTTCAGGACCCTCAAATAGCGGAATCGAAGAGTGCGGTACCCCGGCCGAGGCTAGCCGTTCGATCATAACTCGCTTTCCAGTTCAGCGTGATCGAAAGGCCTCCAAAACGTCGACCCCGTCGGTGATCAAGTTATCGGGGGGTGGAACAGGTGGGGGTGGGGAACAATTGTCCCCAGGGCCTGGCCCACCTCCCCCGGTGTCCCCGGCCGAGCGTAATACCGATGCGAACGAGAACGATGCCGCACCGATTGCGAAATGCGTGGAAAACTATCCGCAGACCGCGGAGACCACCATGAGCTTCGTTTTGCAGCTGGGCACGGTGGAAACGCCTCTGGAAAAGAAGAGCGGCAACCCTTCGACCCTGAGCCAAGAGCCGTCGAACGCGGTGATGATCGCGGAGACGGAGGAACCCGGGAAATCTCAGATCCTTCAATGTTTAGACAGCAACGCGGAGCTTCCAGCCAGCCATGTTATCTCGTTTTCCACTGTGAAGTCGGTCAGCGTCACGTATCCGGTGGCGAAGGCCGTCAGGGAGGTTCAGAGGATCAGCGGGCCACAAACGAACACCACTCAGGTGTTGACGACGCGGGTCATCTCGCAGAAATTGCCGTCGTCCGGTCACCACCAGATTCAACAGGGTCCGTTAATGGCGGCGTCGAACCTTGCCCATGTGCCGGTGAACGCACAGTCCTTACCATCGCCCGGGAGCGGAATGGCACACGTGTACCCTTTACAGCATGTGGTGTCCACGCAGAGTAAGCAACCGGCCAAGAACCAGGTAGTCACGTCCGAAGGGAAACAGCAGCAGCTGCAGCAGACGAACACGGTGTCCGCGTTGCCTCTTAAGGTTCAGCCGGTGTCATCGCAGCTGATGGTGAGCAGCAGCGCGGTGAGAGCCATCAACACCGCGGCGACGTTACCGAACATTCAAAGGATACACGTGAAGGCGCAGAATCTCGTGGGCCAAGCGCAGACGATGAATTTGCAGAAAGTGAAGGCTGTGACCAGCGTGAACCAGGGGGTCACCGTTCAGAGGAACTCTGTGCCCAGGATACAGACCGTGCAGAAGGGTCAAATGTCGAGCGGCACCGCTCAAACCACCCAGTTCGCTGTCAATCAGGTCGCGAACAACGCGAATACGCACAGGGCTCAGCAACAGGGGAATCCGCAGAAATCTCAAGCGAACGCCGCGGGAACGCAGAAGGTAGCGGGACAGGTTTACAATAACCAAAAGGTACCGTCGTCGCAGACATTGGGTAGCCATCCGAATCACAAAGCGCAGCTCCAACAGATACCGGGTAATCAACAGCAGGGGTTGCAGAAGTTACAGGTACAGCCGCAGAAGACGGTGACAGTGCCGAGGCAGCAGTCGGCCGCGGCGCCGGTGAACAACGTTCAGAAGACTAGCAGTTCTGTAGCAGGCATACAGAAGATGCAGGTGGTTCAGTGTCAGCAGCAATCGTCGCAAGTGCAGAAGCACGTGCAGCAAGTCCAGCCGTCTCAGCTTCCGAGACCGCAGTCCACGGCAGTCCTACAGAGATCACAGTCCGTCGCTACGGTTAATTCCACCAGAGCACAATCAATCGCGAACGCGTGCAAGAGCAACAGCGTACCCAATATCCCGAAAACTCCGCAGAACGCGAACCTGCTGGGAGTGAACAAGCAGCAAGTAATTTCGCAGCCACAACAGTCGCAGCAGGTACAAAACTCGACACAGATGCAACAACAGCAATTGTTGCAGCAAACCCCGCAGCAGCAACAGATGGTGCAGAAGCAACAGCAAACGAACGCGAATAATCCGCAGAGGAGTCACAGTATTACAAACGTCCACCAAAAGGTCGCGTCGATTACGACGATGCC